CCCGGACCCGCGTCTCGCCACCACCTCAGCCACTGCCCCCACATCAACAACAATCACAACAACACGTCGCCATATGCGCGCAATCCTGGAAACAAGTTTGGAAATCCTAAACTTCCAAAAACCCCCTTCATGGCAAAGTACCACAATCGCAGGAACGGCGCACAACAATAACAGTCCATACACGGATGTTTAATTTTACGAAAATTAAGAAATTATATTGAATGCTTGATATCGAAATAAAGATACTTTTGTATGAACACTTTCCATATTTTCATGAAAAATCAAACAAAATGATGCATTGTTTCATACTGGTGATTGGTGGAGGGTACTGTGAGATTTATGTGGGAATGCTAAACTCTCCTCCACTCAACACGGTTATCATTTCACACGTGCTTTTCATCATCTTCATCAATTAATTCACACACAACAGTTTTAAATAGTTAAAATAGCTACTTTTAAATAGTACTTAACATGGAATGCAATGGCGTCAACATGGCGCCGGAAATTATGAAGCGAGAAGATTCCAGTGATACCAACTTCAACGTATACGTCGGATCTGAAACAGGATTTCTCAAAGGTAATTAAAGCTAGTACCAGACGCGACATTGCAAGTCAATTTAGTTTAGTGTTATAACAGATTATTTATCCACTGCTTGTAGGGATTTGTTTCGGGTTGGAAACGCCCATGATGAAAGAACTCTCAGATTATGATAAATCAAAAAACCCGTTCCCATCAAGACCTTGTCCTGGACAGATCCCAACAACCGGAAAGACCTCCTTGTCGGCCTAATTGATCGCCCGTCAAAGTTTACAATACAAAGTTGAGAGCATTCACACAAGAGAAGAGGGTGCAACTCAGCGATGAGGGTGAAAGCCAGTTGGTCTCGTTATCTCAACTAGACGAGTACGCAAATTAACTTATTTCACTTTAGTGTCGAATTTAATTTAATATATTTATTCATGCTTGATATTTCTTGATTGTTGCAGTAAATATTTGGTGGGGCTTGAAAATGGGAAAATATCTTACTGGAATCCTGCAGACAGCAAATCTACGATTGAATTGAAAGCTGGAAATCATTTATCATGTGTTAAATCATGTCCTCAAGACTCCTCACTCTTTGTAACGGGTGGCAAAGAAAATGACGTAAAAATATGGAAACTGGACTCGGGAACGACCGAACCTATTTGGAAAGCAAGAAATGTGCCTCACGTTTTGGAGCTTCGTGTTCCAGTTTGGGTGCAGGACGCAGCATTCCTCCACAAACGACAGACCTTGTCGCCATCGCTTCCCGCTACGGACAACTGAGATTGTACGACACCAAAATGGACAATAGAAATCGACCCGTGATTAACATGGAGTTTCTGACCATCCCGCTATGTGTATTTCTCCTACCAGAAATGATCGTCAAGTTATTGTGGGGTCGGCACAAGGAAAGTGGTCTAGTAGACATTCGGAATTATGGAAAGGAAAAGTTGTGCATTTGTTTCACGGTTTCAACGGCAGTGTTCGCAGTATTGTGGCGGATGAGAACACCCCATATTTTGTATCTTGTGGACTGGACCGCTTCTTATATTTACATAATTTGAATAATAGGAGTCCCGTTAAAAAGGTGAGCCTACCGTTGAGGATTAGGATTGTATGTTGCAAAATTGCAATATACAATGGTTTTTGGTTGACACTTTTAATAATCCATTTGCTTTTCTCTGCTCGGATTTTCAGCTCTTCTTGAAGTCCAGGTTGACCGGTGTACAAATTACGAAGGATTTTTTGGCACAATTAGTTAACAACAGCGACGACCTGCAGTCAAGCTGGCACAACATTGATATGAGCGTCCTCCCTGGAGCCCAGTACCTACGAATGGAACGTGAACTCATCGGTGGCCCGTCTCCCAAAAAATTTCGAAAAAGTAAATTACGTCATAAGCCTTTTTGATAGTTGACTTTAATACTAGAGACCCGTTCAATCCGTACGTTTTCTAAACTAAATAAATAGCAGTGAGACTTGTGATAGTGTAAAATTTATCAGATTTTGTAGATTTTATTGAGACATTAAAAAATGCAATAATTTATACGATACTATTTTATTTTTCGATTTTGTTGCTTCTTTTTTATTAAAGTTGAGCACATGTCAGTCACCGACCGTACCAATTTACATAATAATAACCATGAGTCACTTATATAATAACTCGCACTAGAGTTCCACCAGTATAAAAAAACGTTTAAAAACAACATAAAGAATTAAAGCTACCAAACTTATAAACACATCCACTTGCATACACCGGGTAGGTTGGTTGTCATTTTGCATAAGATGACTTAAGTTGTTGACTGAGTAGGAATTGTGAGTCGAGGACGGAATAATAATATTCTAAAAATACTGCGGATCCATAATTTAAAAGGAATGATAACAAATAAACGACGCAGCCAGGTCTGGTTCATAAATGAGTTTCAGTTCTGGTAAAATGGTCCTCGCGATGAGGGAATTTTGTTTGGCGACTACGGGATTTTTCTTGGGAATGACCTTGGTCCTTTTGATCCTGTGTATTTTTACAAAACGAATGGTCAGTTCAGAATAATTATGCATATTGTGTGTACCACCATTCGCTTACCTGGACGGTGAACGAGAAACGCGTTGTCCAGGATGTGGAACTCATAATCCAGCACACACAGCACGTAACCCTACACACACAGCACGTGAATAATTAACACATCTCGAAACCACCATCTCATTATCTATGTCGTCCTCTCGAGTGAATCAGTACAACCTGCGTCATTTTATCACTTCGACCCTCCCAGCTCAGCCGCTCATCGTAGAGTGGGTCGAATTTTGTGCCGATGTAGATGGGTTCCCAGTGATGGTACGGCTTGTGACGCTTCCCACGTGGAAGACACGCAGCCCTGGCGTCACTGGAGCGGTCATCCACTCTTTCGCCCTCGGAATCCGATGACAGTCGAACAGACGTACTTGTGGAAAGGGATTGCGGACTTGTTTCCCAGCATGTGCAGCAGTTGCGCTTATCTCTCGGCTGGACAGACACGTTGGCTTCCACTTCGAAAATACTCAGAACAAACACCTGTCGTGGGAATAATTAATTAGCGGATCGATTTGAGTCTAGCATGTATTAGATTACTTTTAGTGTACTTAGTAGTAATTTCTATGTCTCAGCACCTTTGGATTTGGTCTCTGTAAATTGGAGTCATTTAGACGAATCATCTCGAGGAAATCTGGGATTAGGTTAGGGTTGGGATACAACTCGATGTCTGAAGCAGGATTAGTGTGTTGTGGACATATCACGGGCCACGTTTCGGGCTACATTTACTGGATATGGCAACTTCTTGGCTTTTTTGTAGGTCACAATGTTATCACCAAACGTAGGGAAGGTGCACTGTGTGAAAATATGCCCATTAATAGAAATATTTATGCAGCGTATATTTGCTAATCGTGAGTATGTAATCGCAACCTGCAATTCAAAGTGGAAGCTAAGGAAACGGATCCTGTGGGATTTTAGACTTGGCACGTGACGAGTATCAAAAAAGATGTGGAAGGTGACAAAATCTTTGACAAGCGGGGAGACACACTCCCTCAGGTACAATATTCGCGTCAAGGTTTCCCCAAAATCTGTTCCTGAGAGTAGACGCTTAGACTGACGGGGCCCTGCCACCTCTCCAGCAAGGGACCAGATTATCCAGAAACGTGAAGTCTGCATGAGTGGAGTAATATTGACTGGTCGCAGTGAAAGGTCCTCTCACCACGCACGTAGTTGTAGAGCACCCAGTAGGCGCCCCTCTGAGCGTAATGGGGTCGTGGGGTGAGATCGTCGAGGGGAAGAGTCGCCCACCCTCCAGGAGCGCCTTCGACTCGTTCACCATTTCCACCGAGGGGACGAGGATGTCCTTCTCTTGCCCGGGGACTCACCTTCATTGCATCATTTGCATATTAATTTATATGGAGTGAACTCGTGTTGATTATTGTCGTACCAAGTCAGCCGCAATCCCCTGCCCAGGGCGCTGTCGTCCCCGTCCCACACGACGCCACCATCACTGCTTCGCACTTCGGTTTGTTGTTGACCCCATTTCCACCCCACTGCCACCGTCTCAGGGGAATTGCCCACAGAAACAGAGTTGCTGCCTGTTCCTGGAGCAGAGGTGGAGTTGTGAAGGGTCGCTCAGGAGGAGGTCCGTGTTCTCCCAGAGGGGACCACTCTTGGGTGGAGAGCAGACTGTCAGGGGTGAAGGGACCAAAACGGGACATTGTTCTCCGAGGGGGAGACGTGGAGGAGGAGTAAAGGCGAGATAGATCCGCACAAAAGGTTGCTCGTCACACTCGCCCGAAATAACCAGGTCGGCTCATGGCCATGATAGCTCCGCCGCTGTCGTCGCAACTCAAACGCGATCTGTTCAGAAAGAGGGACGATTTTAGACTTGATTTAAAATAGCCAACCATAAATATTTTGTTTCATCTCTCGTAAAAGAAGCCCTAATGAACCACCTTGAATCATGGAACTTTTTCTCTTAGGTGAGCATGCATTTATTAGTCAGCATGAATATCAGGATAAGGAATACAAAAAAAATCTCTGTCAGTATTGTTTAGTCTATTTGAACAGCAGAGTTTTATGGCAATTTACTGGTCATGAGAATTTTGAATACATATCTATATTTATGCATGCATGAGTTAAATTAGAAAGTATCTTCTTAATATCTCCCTCCAACAATTCTCTCAGTCCGACTGACTTGAACAATGTTCTGCTCATTCTGAGCTCATAATTTTTTGGGTAACTTACAGCAATCAAGCATCCAAGCGTCTGGAATTAATTGTGTCGCTGCACTAATTAATTTGCACTTCGCATGCAACAATTTGGTATCCTGCATCCTCCAGTCTGAGAAGGTCACCACCGCACCCACTCACTGCTTCCCACGAGTCTAAAAGTACTGTTTACGTTACAAGAATAGAGCCCTCTTCTTGATAAAGCACAAGAACGCATTGTCCACTTTCCCCAACCCCAAGAAGGTCCCTAACCTCAACCAAGCACAATTATGACCTCCCAGTTGCTCCCTTTCTCCAAATCGATTAGAGTTTGACCGTATTTAGGAGAGATATAAATCCAGGTTGAGAAGCTTGGTCGTCTACTCTGCTGCTGCTCCTGGGGTCAGGGAGGAGAGGATGAGTTGGAGGAGCCTCTTATTAGTCGTGGTACTGGCAACACTAAAAGCACAACAACTGGTTGTGGTGATGGTCATATTCACAAAGTCTCGCATTGCTATGCCACTGTAAATAGTGGTGAGTGAGATTCCTCACAGTTTACCTCATCGTCATCGTCGTATCCTTTCTTCCTTCATCTTAAGACTTACATTCTCAGAGTTATGTGTGTAAAAAGATGGGATGATGAAGTAGAAGGGTGATCCCCATGTACATAAAAAACACTCGATTTTGCCCATTCACGACACACGTGTTCGCCGCTTTCTTTGAAGCTATCTCAGACTTGGCCACAAAAGGTGTTGCGTGATGACTGCGCGTCCATGCTTTTCACCTGTGATGCAACCCTTCGTCCAAGCATTGCATTGTGTCGTGGCGAGTAAAGAGCTGCTAATTGGGGGTGGCTATGTCTCCTGTGGATCTTGCCGCACTAACGTAAAACGTAATCCCACTTCGTGCTTAACACGACGTCATCGTCAATGATCACATTTGCAAATAGAATAGTCCTTGAGAGACGTGCTGCACACTTGGCTCATAATTTCTGCGAATGAGGACCAATCTCAAATTCCTCACCATATTTTTTCTCTACTTCTTGCTGCAAGGAATAAAATATTGGTTAATTAGTACATCGCTGCAAATACTGTCGTTCGTGACTGCAAACGAGATTGTTTATATTTACTTCCAATCTGTGATAAAGAACACTTTTTTTTGATGCAGTTGCTAATTCCTGAAATAACAATTTGTGTGTTCAGCAGAAAAAAGAGTTTAGAGATAAAATTCAGCTACAACATGTTTGTAAATCCTCCACACTAAATACTAAAGCTTTGCTTCTGCATTAAAGTAAAAAAAGACAATGTCTGCTTATTCTCATGCAATGAGTCAACAACACATGCACAACGGAAGAATGCTAAATGTCTCACGTTCCCGACTACAATAATATTTTGTATCAGTTCTAACCAGTATAATAAACCTGATCAAAATTATTCATTTTCATGGACCACGTACGAAGTGAGAATTAAACGTGAGCAAGTGAGGAGTTCCATGCACAAGAGATCGGATTTCCGTCCTCAACATCACCATTGATTATAACAGGGATTTCATAAACTATGCATACTTGTATTTACTCACTTTAGCTGTGATTAAAAACACACAAATTTCAAGTAGT